AGGATCTATGTTGGATGTAGAAATTGATCATGCCACCGGAATTATTGATGCACTAGCCTTTACGGACCAACAGGCCCAACATGATAGACATCCAATTCAAAGGAAATGAGTCCTTGAACTTAACACCACAGATGCTCTCTTAGCCCAGAATAAAATTTTGACCCAACAAATTGAAGCATTGAACCAGAAAATAGAGAAATTACCTCAACAAATGCACACAGTACAAACTATTCTTAATCAACAGTTGAGTTGTGATTTGTGTGGAGGTGATCATTCAAATGAACAATGCTCTTATCAAGGCAACATTCAGCAAGAAGAAGCTAATTATATGGGGACCCAAGGTAGTAGTCAAGGCAGACAAGGTAATTTTCCTAATCCCAATAATTATCAGAATAATTTTGCACAAGGATGGAGAGGGAATCAAAATCAGAATCAGAATTTTTGGTGGAACCAAGGTGTTAGCTCATCTACTAGACAACATGCATTTCAACAACAGTCATATCAGCAACCTCCATATCAACAGCATTATCCTTCAGTGCTTGACAGAATAAGTAAATTGGAGGATATTGTAGAAAAATTTATGCAAAGCACTATGGTTAATCAGAAAAATACTGAGGCTTCATTCAGAAATATAGAGACACAAATAGGCCAACTGGCTAAGCAATTATCTGAGCAGCAACAAGGAGGACAATTTTCAGCTAACACACAAACCAATCCAAAGGAGCAATGCAATTCAATAACTACAAGGAGTGGAAAAGTTGTAGGTAAGGGGATTGGTGACAATATAGTTGTTGAAGAAGAAGTTTTGGTAAAAGAAGATGAAAAGCAAGAAGATGAGAATAATAAAGAAAGACATATTCCTAATAAGAAGAACGAAGAGAAGATAGAAAAAGGAGGGAGTCAAAAACCATTTGTAGAGAAGTTACCGTATCCCAAGGCTCCTTCACAAATAGATAAAGAAAGACAGTTTACAAGATTCATGGATATTTTCAAGCAATTGCAAATTAATATATCATTTGTGGAAGCTATGGAGCAAATGCCAACATATGTCAAATTCATGAAAGAGCTCTTAACTAAGAAAAGAAGATTTACTGATGAAACAGTAGAGTTAGAGGCAGGATGCAGTGATATATTCCAAAAATCATTGCCTCAAAAGTCCAAGGACCCTGGAAGTTTCACTATACCAGTCACAATTGGTGAATTACCGGTGAAAAAATCATTGCTTGATTTAGGGGCCAGTATAAACCTCATGCCATTATCTATGCTCAAAAGAATAGGAGACTTGGAAGTAAAACCTACAAGAATGACATTGCAACTAGCTGACAGATCTCTAAAGATTCCTTATGGAGTAGCAGAAGATGTTTTAGTTAGAGTGGACAAATTCATATTTCCTGTTGATTTTGTGATTATGGACAGGAGGAAAATGAGGAAGTCCCATTGATCCTGGGAAGACCATTTATGAAGACTGCCAAAGTAATTATAGATGTTGACATGGGCAAGTTGAAAATTAGAAGTGGAGATGATGAAGTTAATTTTAATCTGTTTGAAGTTGTACAACAACCGGAAGACAAAAAAGATTGTCTCAGAATAGACACTTTGGAGGAATTAACGATCTTAATTGAAAAACAAGATTACAAGCGTGTTGCACAACCCCAAAGACATCTTAGTCTGACTATGAAGGAAGTTATTCAAAGAGAGGTACTAAAACCTCTTGAAGCAGGTATGATTTATCCAATCTCTGACATTTGTAAGGTTATTCGTAATGAAAAGAATAAATTCGTTCCCACAAGGACAGTTAAGGGATGGAGAATGTGTATATATCACCTTGATCACTCACCTGCATGAGCCCTAAAGCAAATAGGCGTCAAGCTGAAGACGTTAAACAAGCGCTCCTAGGAGGTAACCCAATATTTTGAATTTTTTTTTTTTCTCTTCTTTTTGCAGTTTAAGTTTTTTTTGTGCATTTTTCTTCCTTAGGTTCTTTCTTTGCAAGATTGCTCCAGGTACACAGTGCACTTCTCCTCAAGACTTTGAAGCCTTACTTCAATAGCCTGGGGACAGTCCAACTTTTCTGGAGGGGGTGAGAAAGTCTGCAGCTGAGGCTGAGGCACAAGATAAGGAGTACATGACAAGTGAAGAAAATGAGGGAAGAAACTTACTTTACTTTTAATGTTTTTAATTCCTTTGTATTTTAATTGCTTTATTTTAAATTTTGAATTAAATTTTGGATTCCCTTGTTGTCCCATAATTTGTTTTAGAGTCATATATGAAATTATTGCTTATTGTCTAATTCAAATTTAGAACATGAAAAATAATTTTGATTGTTTCCAATAACAAGTGATTTTGGGATATTGAGTATGATAGTGAAAAAGAATTGATGAGGAAAATTAGGAATTAACTGAATTGGAGAAGCTAGCCAAAACCCAGGTGAGCAGAGTACCACAAACAGATAAATTGAGTGTCAACACTTTGTGATGATAACTGATATTGTTTGATTCTTTGATGTGATTACATGTTAGCAAGACTTGAAAATGATAAAGACATTTTTTCTTTGTAGTAGACATAACCCAGAGCCAAATAGTCAACCATGCATTAATTATAGGACATTCATTTGAACCCCTTCTGAGAAAAAAAAAATAATATTGTTTCTTAAACAGAACCCTTAAGTCTAAACACTATTTATCTACCTTCCTATATTTGAGAAAGGAAATGAGTATGAATGTCAATATTTTTCTTATTGTTGGGTATTGCTATTGTTGTCCTACAGGTATTGTTGGGGTGTTATTGTTAAAAAAAAAAGTGTAAAGAAAAAAGAAAAGCAAAGTTTAAAAATTTGCAAAGCAAAAAAAAAAGGATACATGCAAAAAAAAAAAAAAAGTCAAAAAGGGGATAATAACTTGTGAGATTATTAACTCATTGTCATTGTGTTAGGGACAAAAGCATAAAGTTTGAAACCTGACTTGAGGAATTGTTAATCAAGAATCATTCATATGAGTTGAATTTCTCAAATATTTTTGTATATCCCAGAAAAACCAATAACTCTTTCTTAGCCCAGCCCCATTACAAGCCTCAAAAGACCTCTTGATTTAAGTCTTGTTTAACAATTGTTGATTGCTTGAAGATGATTATCAATATTGGATTGTCTAAATGAAGTGATTGAATGAGATAAACACTTACCTGTGAGAATTAGAGATGAGTATATATAACTCTATTTGAGAGATCATGCATCTCTGAGGATAGTTGAGGACTAATTATTCTTTGTTGGTTTCTATAACTTGAATGCTTATGTGTTCTATTTTCATTTGGAGTTGTGAGCATCACCTCTGAAAATTTGTATGTTGTGGTTCTAGAAGAGAAAAAGATAATAGGTGATGATTTTGTTTTGGAAAAATTACTTTGCTTGGGACAAGCAAGATTCTAGGTTGGGGGGAGTTGTTAAGTGGTAAAAAGTTGATATAATTATGCCTTAAATTGTTATAAAACCACTTAATTTATGTTAATTCTAATATATTTTTCTCCCAATATAGGACAAATTTGAGAATACCTTGATACAAGAGTAAAGAACATAGTTGTCAGCATAATTGGAGTAAAATTGAAAGAAAGAAGAGCGCCTAAGCGAATGAATGATGCAAGGCCCGACCCAAATTCTCTTATAAAAAGATAAGTTGTGTTTTGAGAAAAGCAAGCAGTCTTGGAGAGGAGGAGGTACGACTACTGTTAGGGTTTTGTCCAATCTTCATCAATTCTTCTTCATCAATTGAAGCATTGTAATGGCCAACATGAGTGGCTAACTTCATTCTCTTAGGATTCGGTGCACTTCCTTTGAACTCTTTTGTATCATGGTGATATTTTGATATATTAATTTATGCTTTGATGTTGTTATTCTTATCCTTTATGCTTTGGAATGATTTATTCTTGATTGTTTGAGGTATGATTGGAAAATATATCTTGAAACATAGATCATGATAAGAATATTTGTTACGTTAATTGTCAGGAATGGAATGAATGTATCAATTGCTTAACACCCTAACCCTAATGCTGGAAAATCTGTTAATTGTGTGAGGAATCAACATTTATTAGGTTTTCTTATGAATTTCATGTGTGAGGAATCAACATGGATGATTTGAGTAGGTGGCATCAACATTGTTAGGTTAATTAACGTTCTTAATTGATTTAGCCATTACAAAAGAGGGATAAGGAAGGAAGTCAATCCTAAGTACCTTTAATTGATATTTTCTCAACAATTTACAAGTCTTTGTCATTCAATTTCAATTCAACTCTTATTTGCAAAACCTAATCTGTTTTAATCTACTTAGTAAGCATAATTGGGAATTTCCATTGAAACTGTTCTCGTGGGATCAACTTTTATTTAATCGAAATATTATACTGCGATTGATAATTTGGTACGCTTGCCAATAATTCAATATATATATATATATATATATATATATATATATATATATATATATAAATGTTTCTTTAAAACATAACTTTACTAAATATTTAAAATTTAGTAATAAGTTTAATTACGAGCTAGTTTTTATCTTTTTAGTTAAATTTTTAACTTTAAATAGTTCTAAATAAAAAATTTTAACGTTTATATAAATGATGGAAAAGAGACGTTAAGTGCATGTCCAATTTTTTAATAATTAGTTTTTTTAAATATTATTTAAATTTTTTAATTTTATTTATTATTTAAATATATTCATTTTTTTCTTTTTTCTTTTTACTATTTTTAAATATATAAATTATAACAACTTTTAAATTACAACACTTTTATTTTTATTTTCGATAATGTAAAAAATAATTTTTTTCTTATTGGAAATAAAAATGAAAGTGTGGTAATTTAAAAATAATTTTAAGTTGTTTCCAGTGAAATAAGTAGAAAAGAAATAAAGATACATTTGATTGCTGATACGTATTAATATTTGTTATATAATTTATTTCTTTCTTCACCTCGTTCTTTCTCTGATCTCACGGAGAGACTCATCATAGCAAAGATGGCTTTCAAGAACATGTTGAGTGCAGCAATCAATCAAGGGGTTTCGGAAGCACGAGCAAGGATCTTCGGCCACCAATTGAATCCCTCTGGCAAGAAATCTCCGCACAAGATTCTCCGCATGAAGCTCTTCGGTGAAAAAGTCGCTCAGTGGTACCCTCACGACATAAAAAAAGACGACCCTCTTGTCATGGCCCGTCAAGAACAAGAGTACCCTCTCTTTCACATTCTGCCTCACTTTGTTATCCATAGTAATTTGGTTACACGCGCCCTCACGGGAATGCCCACCACCTGTTTGTGTTTATGCCACTGTCACGGTTTTCTTTTTGTTTGGATTTTTTCTGGAATTACCTGTGTTGTTTAGAGTGTGAGAGTTTATGGGTTTTCTTATTTTGATTAATGAATGGAATGGTATGGATTTTTATTTATTTTTTATGTGGACGGCTTTGGTTTGGAGTTTTATCACTCTGCTTCGTCTAATCGCGAAAATGTGAAAAAGTTTGTTGACCTGAACCCCTTCTGCACAATTGGTGTGGTGTGGACGGCAGTACTAATGTTGGTTGTTCTGCATTTGGTATGAATTCCATAATACATTGACACATGAGAAATGCTTGCAACTTTTTTTATTATTAGCTGAAATTTGCAGAGAAGTACAAAATTATGCAAGTTTAGCGCATTACTTAATGAGTCTTCCCTCATGATTTCTGTAACTTTGTTAATAACAGTGAAACTTAGTTGGATGGGATGAGTTAAGGAGTGTCTTGTTAGCACCCCTCTTGTGTGAATACCTAGACACTGTTATTAGTCTATTGTTTTGCTGATGGGGTTGTTTCCAATCTGAAGGAAATTTTACCTTCTAAAATTTTGTCCCATTTTGTAGATATGTTTGTCACCCATGTCCATTGTATGCCAGTGAACTTAGTTAACAAATTTTCAAAATTGAAAGGTAGAAAGAGCAGGTGTGATGCAAACTATATTCTGTTTAACCTTCCTTTATAAATTAGAAATAAACTTTAAAGATGGTGGCTGATGATTATATCTGTTAAATTTGAGTTATTAGAGCACTATTTCTTTCTGATGTGAAAACTTGGATATTTAAATCAGGTGAAGTGTGTGTTTTATTTTCACTGTGAATATGACTATGTTGTCTTGCATCAAGTGCATTCTACTAATGCTAATTTATGTCAGTAGAGGGTTGTCCTTTATGTTACAGTCAGAATCTCTGGCACTTATTCAACATCATTTGCTATCTTGTTATTTATAGACGTCTGTCCAAGCTTGAAATGTTGAAGCGGCGAGGAAAAGGACCACCGAAGAAGGGCCAAGGAAGGCGTGCTGCCAAACGCAACAAATAAATTAGTTATGTGATAACACTTTGAATTTAATTATTTTTATCAGAATGTAAACTCTCAAGCATTTGAGAGTTGAAACCACTGACTAATTTGGTTTAGGTGCGTGTCCTCTATGTGCAATTAAATTTTCTGAAAATGTTTGCAAACTGGAATGCAATGCAAAGTTACAAAATAGCCATTTTCTTATTGATTTTGTTATTTTATCTTACTACCTCATCTTATCTCGTCTTTGTCAGATTTTATCAAGCTTGAGCATGACCATTCACACGAAACTTGTCACATCACATTTTAAAACTCTTAATTTACTAATACATTTATAAGTATAAAAAATTCAGAATTATATTATATTTTAGTTTAATGTATAAATTTAATTGAGCAATGAATGGTATGATAGAGATGATGTATTATGGGGTATTTCTGAACAAGTAGTATAAAATGCTTAGTGAAATATTCAAGTACTTAGTTATGCTTCATTTAACACCTAACCTTAAGTGGTGATTTCTTAAAGCGATGTTGCCTCCAATTTACTTTGAAACTTTCGAGAGAGAACATTATTTCTTAGTTATATGTAGTCAGCAACGAGGTGGGTTTTTTAACTATTATCGTCTTCGTCCCCGATCCTTAGAAATTAAGTTCTCATTTTCGTTCTCGTTGGATTTCGGGTTCCCGCCTCCGCCCAGATCCTCGATCTATATTATTTTTAAAAAGATAATTATATTTATAATAAATTAATTTTACTATTTATTTTTTATATAAAACTAAATATTTTTAATTTTATAATTTATAATTATTAATAATTAAATATACATTTTAATTTACTATATTTATATTAAAATATATATGTAAAAGAAATATTTTATCATTTTTTATTTATAATATTATTATTATTATTATAACACTGTATTGAAATATTTGGATACTTATAACATTATTATTATAATATTATATTCAAACATTTGATTATATATATATATATATATATATATATATATATAAGTTAATTCATTTTTAAGTTATCATTTAAAAATATGAAATACATAGTTTATAAGGAAATATTTAATAAGTTAATTCTTATTCAATTAGTTCAAGTAATAAAAGTTTAAATTATCAATTCCTTTAATCCTTTAAAATACAATTATTTTATTAAGATAAAATTTGATATATGATAAATAAGAATAATAAGATAAAAAAATATGACATAATAAAACCTAATAAATATAAATTATAAATAAAATAATATTAGTTATTACTAAGATTTATGTAAACTATTTAGAAAAAGATAAAAGATAAAAAAATTAACTTTGTGTTCATCAAATTGGTTGAAAATATTGAAAAAAAAACAAATTGATGGGAGAAATTAAGGAAATGTGAAAAACTGAAAGGTAAGAGAGAATAATATAATAAATTAATTGATATAAATGATTAAAAAAGACAACAAAATTAAAAAGTGGGTAGAAAAAAATAAAAACTAGTGAAATATAAAAAAAATGACCTTATATGTAATAGAAAAAGAAAAGAAAATACTTTTAAAATATTAATATTTTAAAATTTAAATTTAAATATAAAGTTAGGGGCGGGGATGGAGTCGAGGTCGGGATCGGGATTGTATTACCCATCCCCGCCTGCCCCGACCTTTTAAAGCGAGAAAAACTCAAACCCGCCTCGCCTCGGTCAACTCGAGTTTTTCCGTCAAACTCAAAATGGGGACAGGTCGAATCTCACGGATACGGGTTTAATTGTTATTCCTAATTTAAGACCAAGCTTGTAAATTATTTATGTTAAGGAGTTTTGTGAGTTGATATTGTTAGAATTATGTAAATTTGTTAGTTTATATCCTGATGATGATATTTATTCATTATATTAAAGATATGTATGTCGCAATAATGACTTTTAGTCTACAAAGATGTCCATTGGATTGTCCCTTGACATGATTTAAGAAATAGATCAATAAAAAAAAAACTTATTGAATTATAATGATCTATTTCAATCAACTCTACATTTATCTTTGTTTTACTCTTTCTCTCTTTTTTTATTTTCATTTTTTCACTCTTCTCTCCTCCTCATAAAATAACAATTTCCATTGTCACTATTTTTTTCTCAAAAATAAATTACTATTTTTTTCCATTTTTTTTACTCATTTGTTGATTTCTTTTAAATAACATTTTCTACTACTCTCTGCTTATATAAAAAAAAATCATTTATTAAAAAAATAAGAATTAGATATTTATTTTTTATTTTCATCATTATTATTTTAAAATTTAATTATTTAAAATAATAATTTATCTTAACTATTATATTAAAAATAAATTTGTAATATTTATTCATTAGATAAGTGAATTTTTTTCTATATATGTGTAACTTAATATTTTCATCTTATAAGTGTTTAAGAGTTATATATATATATATTACCTTACTCAAAGTAAAATTTCAATTAAGTAGACTATTCCTATTCATCACCTGCTTCACTTGAATATGCTCATTTTAACATCGTTTTAGAATGAAATTTTTTTAAAGATAATTTTTATAATATACAGATACTATATATTTATGTTTATAAAAAATTTATTTAATTTTCCATTATCGAGTTTTTCAATTCAACTACAAATATTTAACTTTTTGTAAATTATTTTTTTTATATTTTATTATTCCAAAGATACATATTCTTACCATGTTAAATTTTGAGTTTTGCTTAAAAACATCTTATAACTTTACTTTTCTTTAGAATATTTCCTTCCAATATATCAACATTTAAAAAGAAGATTTTTAAAAATATAGCTCTAGGAAATTACATTAAAGTATACATTTAATTAGTTAATTAAGTATTAAAATTCAAAATAATTAACTTTTATTTTATAATAATAATAATAATAATAATAATAATAATAATAATAAATTTTAATGCATGTTAGACTAATAAGTCATATGTAATCAAACATGTATTAAATTTATTTAAATTAGTATATATATATATATAATAATATTATTATTATTATTTTTTATTATTATTATTATTATTATTATTATTAAACATTGAAAATAATACTATCCAAGGAAAATATATATTTATACAAATAAGATATTATTTACATTAATATTTGTTTGTTTGTTTATTTGAATTTTTAAATTTTTTATTTTTATTTAAATATATGGTTCAATAACAATATTTTGTACTAATTTATTTAAAAATAATAAAAGTTAACAAAGAAATATATATTATATTATTACATGAACTCAGTTGAAACATTTATTTATTAAAGTAGTAGTATAATATTGAAAAATACTGTTAATATTGACTATCATTAGTAACGTGTAACTGGTATATAAAATACATTAAATGTATATTAATATTTTTGTGTGAGTTTTTTTAATTTTTATTTTAATATTGTGCATTTTCAACTATAATAAATCTTTTTAAATATGAGTTTAAATATAAATATTAAAATAATAATTAAGAATACAAATTAAGAGAAATATTATATTAATAATATGTTCAAACTAAATTTTAGTTTGAAATATATTATATAATAAAATATTTTTAAAAATAAGAAAATTAGTTTAATATGAATTTATCCTTATCCATTGATGAAGGAAAAAATTGAGTCAATAAAAAAATTTCAGAACAGCAAGAAATATTTAGAAAGATTATAATTTTTCATAGTAAATAAGAGAAATTAGAAAGATGCTAATTTATAAATTAAATAAAAAAATAAATTTTATTTTCTAAGAAAACATAATTAAAATATTGGGCAAAATTATCAAATGTGGATAATTAATATTTTCTAAAATTTAGAAATTTGTACAAAATAGAAAACTTGTTCATATATTTTTAATTATAATATTAATATAAATTATTTAATAATCAATTTAAGATTTTGTATAGGAATAAAAATAAAAACAGTAGTGTGAAAAAACAAAATTAATATATTTATCCTTTTGTTAATAAAAAAATAAAAATTTGTCATATTTTTAAATTAATATGTTTCATATAAAATATATGAATAATTTTTATTTATTGATGTTTAATTTTTTAAAGTATAATTTAAAAAAAAAATATATATATATATATATATATATATATATATATTACTCTATTTTATATTTTTTTATGTAATAAAAATAAGTGAGCACTCTCTTTGTTGTATCTAAATTTACAATTATCAAAAATAAAATTCATAACCATTTAATAAAATATCTAATAAATATAATATTCATGGTACGACGAATTATATATGAAAAGTCAAATATAATAATAAATGTGTATTAACTTTATAAAAAGTAATTAATGTATTATATTTAATGAGTATACTCTTTTCCTTTATTTTTAATTGTCATTTTTATTATAAATTAATAAATAAAATTTCTCAACTTTAATAAAATATATAGATTTTATATTTTGTCTTTTCATTTCTCTATTATACTAAATACATTAGGAAAAAACTAACAATGACAAGGGTATAAATGAGACCTTTGTATTTATATTTATCTGTTAATTTTTTGAATTTTTTTGTTTATTACAAAGTTCAAATTAACATTATATTTTTTTATCATTTATATATTTCTCCTCCATCTAGTATTTAATTAGTTTATATATATATATATATATATATATATATATATATATATATATACATATAATATATAATATCATGACATAGAAATAAAAAAATAAAATAGAAAGTTTTATAAATATTTTATCAAATCTAAAACATTATCGTATTTCTTGAATTTTTTTAGAAAAATCATAAAAGAACACTAAAAAAACGTAAGAAATAAAAAAATAATTAATGTTGTGTTGAATTTTGAAAATAATAATAATAATAATTAATAAAAAGTTTAAAAAGTTGACAGTTAAAAAGAAACTGATAGAAATAATATTTATTATGAGATTTAACTGTGTATAACATTTAATAAATGTAATAAATGATGATATAAAAAATATTTTGAAAGTAAAACATTTAATAAATTATGTATTAAGTTTATAAAAGTAATAAATGTATTTCATT